TGTGTGTGTGTGTGTGTGTGTGTGTGTGTGTGTGTGTGTGTGTGTAGTGAAGGAAAAGTGGACCAGGGTGTCCCAGAGGGAACAGTCTCTGTGAAAGGCAGACAAGGGAAGGGAGGGGAATGCGTGTCTAGTGGTGGTATCTTGCTGGAGGTGGTGGAAATGGTGTCTGATGATCTTCTGGATGTGGATGCTGGTAGGATGGAAGGAAAAACAGGGGAACCCTATCGTTATTGCGGGAGGGAAGAGAGGAGATGAGGGTGAAAGTGCAGGAGATGGGTCAGACCCGGTTGAGGGCCCAGTTGACAATGGGTGCTGGGGATTCCTCAGTTGAGGAAGGTGGTGGACATTTCGGAAGCTTCCTTGTCGAAGTTGGCCTCATCTGAACATATGTAATGGAGACAGAGAAACTGAGAGAATGGGATGGAGTCTTCACAGGAAGCAGGGGAGAGGATCTATAGTCCAGGTAACTAGGGGAGTCAGTGGGTTTATAGCGGATACTAGTGGCCAGTCTATCCCCAGAAATGGAAACACTACCTATTGTTAGTCACTAACAGTCTCATTAACAGCTATTCACCCTCCCAGCCAGATTGTTATCAACTCCTCAGTCTATCCAACTGCTCTTCTTTCCCTTTAGGCTCCATCCTTTATCCTATCGTTTACTCCCCAATTTCTGCATACAAACTGACGCTTACCCAGCTACCATCACTCCCAAGGATGGATTACTGGACCCGAAACGTTGACTCTGATTTTTTCTTCACAGATGCTGCCAGCCCTGCTGAGCTTTTCCAGCAACTTGTTTTTGTTCCTGATGTTAAACATTCACGTGGACCTGGAGGAACCAGAATGTAATGGACCAGAATGTGGATGTTCATCCCAGAAGGCACTTAACACGAGATACTACACCAGCTCTGCACGTGGCAGAATCGAAGATTGTAATCATCAGCAAACTTGAATGGAGGCAAGTCATTCTTGATCCTGAGGGACTACCCAAGACAACTTATTATTGTCATTTTGGTTGTTATTGGTTACTGGCTGAATCCAAGATTTTCCAACTTCTGGTTCCTTCCACGCAAGTCCCTCTCCAACCATTATTTTCC